AAGGGGGAAAAGTCTTGCAGAAGAATGAGGGAGGAGACACAATATAAAAATACGTAGAAAAAATGCGTTTTCCTATCTCACCGTACCCAAGTGTGTGTGTTGTGTTTATGCCTTTGTCAAAACCATAAGTATCTTTGAATGATAAACTCTGATTAATTCTGCATCAGATACGTAAATGTGGCGTGATGATATTTTGGGGGGGAGGTCAATTCACAGGGAGTCTGAAACGACCCTGGTTAGGGTCACCAAAGGTCACCTAGAAAGTCCCTGATGTCCAGTGTATTGGAAAACTATACTTTTTCATCCTACAAAAAAAATTAGAACCCAGATTTGAGATTGTCTTTAACTTAGACAGTCAGGGCAGGATTCTAGGCGGTCTTAAAGGAGATGGTGAATCTTGGAAAATGAAGAGGAAAGAGTTACAGTTCACTAAGGATGGCTCAAGTCCAAGCACTGTAACTTCCACTTTGGTCAAGCTTATTAGACAGTCAGGGAATGGGTGAAGGGGCGAGCACAGTGAACCTGACCTTCCCCAATGCATACGATGATACACATGTTTCCTGTTGCTCTCTGGACAAGATACAGACGTATGGACTGGAAGCTACAATAATTTGGTGCATTAGTAGCTGGTGAGGAACAAAGGATTGAAGAATGCTCATTGATGACCCCTTGCAGAATTCTTTCTTTAGAGGAATAGCCTTAGTTCTCAGTCTGATCCTACTCAGTTCTGTTAAAACTGGAGAGAAGGTGATGGGGGTGAATTAGACTAGAAAGCAAGAAGACGCAATGGGAGACAGAGAGGGAAATCTGGAAAGGGAGAGATAGAGTAGAAGCAAGGAAGGCAAGCAGATTTAAGAACAACTGCTCTGAGCCCAGGAATTCACTGGGTGATTCTGCACATAGGGAGGGGGCCTGGCAGACAACCGGCTGGGGAATCTCCCACAAGTCTCTTAATACTCTCATGCCCCAGGGTCCTGATGTGGAAAATGGGCATGATACGCTCACTTTCTAGAGTGGTCATAAGGACCAGATGAGAAAATACATGTAAAACATTCAGCACTTAAGTTCTCAATACAAGATATTATTAGTCTTTATTAATTACCTTCATATATCTATTGCATAATACATTGCACCAAGGGGTGGGGGAGAGAGGAATGACCGATTAAAAATTTTCTGTTCTTATTAGATTTTATATATATACATACATATATATATATGTGTATATATATATATATATATATATATATATATATATATATATCAGATAAATGAATGAAAAGTCTGATTTATTTATTTTTTTAAAGTACAGTTATCCCCCCTAACCTACACAGCTACATGTGTCAGAAAAAGATGACATTGGAAAGTGGTAACTACAAAGAGTTTAATGAAAGGACTTTCTCCAAAGATGTGGGCAGAGAAACCGACAAGGGGCAGTGACACGTCTCTGGGGCAAGCACCCATGGGAGCTCACAGCCACCTCTGAGCCCAAACAGCAGGGAGAGAGGTGGTCACAGGACCCAGCAGGAGTGGGAGGGCATCAGGATGGGAGCTGCAGGGGAAAGCTGCCAGCCTGTGAGCTGCTGCTAGGGGCAGCCACTGGCTGAAACTCCAAAAAGTCAAAGAGCAGCAGATGCCCTAATGATGCCATCTGCAGAGATCAGCTTCGAGGGCACAGAGGAGAGTACAGAAAGGCAGAGGGAGGGTCTGGAAGGGCATCAGAGAAAGCGCAGCACACCGGAGGCTTCTAGCACGTCAGATTCTGGTCATCCCCGAGGATCTGTGAATTTACACATCAAATACGACAGTGCTTATGGACGCCACATGCCCACAGGTCCTGCTGCCCGAGCATCAGCACGTGCCCCATGCCCTTATCCCTGTGCACATCCACACAGATACAAGCCCCAGGGGCCCTGGACCACAGCGTTAAGAGCTGTCAGTTCCCAGTAAAACCACCCCCCGCTCCAAATCAGTGGAACATAAAGCTCAACTCATCATAAATCTTGTGCGTATTAGCACTGGGTGCCTCTGTTCTGTGTAAAAGGAACTGTACTTTGTCAGGCATTTCTCTTAGGTCTACAGTGCGAAGGATGTGTTTTGTGATGACAAAAGAAGGGGAAAGCAGGAGAGACTAATACAGAAAGAAGTGGCAGATTTGGCAATTGTTAATACTTAATAAATGACCACAAGCTAGTACCTGGTAATCGACTGTTCTTCCCAGCTCCTCTCTGTCTGAGGAGGCAGCGGTGGTCTGGTTCGAGAGGACATGGACAGACAGAGGGACAGGCAAATGAAATCCATCTGGGGCACATGAGTCAGGTGACAAGGTTTCCACCATTTTCCTAACAACAGAGAGAAGTCATGGCTGTAGGTCACAGTAACAGCACGGTCAGGCCTTGGGGTTCCTGTTACAACGCTGATTCACTATGATAAGAACACGCTGTGTTTGAAAGTTACTTTGTTTAAGGATACAGTATGGGGACTAAAGCCAATATTCTATAACTGTAAATGAAGGATAGCCTTTAAAAAAAGAAAGTATTAGAAACATTAATTTTCCACAGATGAATTCCATTTATATAATAATAGGTCTGATTTTTTGAGTAAATAAAAATCAGTTATATTGCAACATAAAAGGAGAACAAACTAATGGTTACCACCGGGGGGGCGGGGGGCGGGCAGTAACGGATCAGGGAGTGGGAGGCACAAACTACTGGGTGTAAGACAGACTCAAGGATGTATTGTGCAACTGGAATAGAGCCAACATTTTATAATAACTGTAAATGGAAAGTAACCTTTAAAAATCGTATAACATTTTTAAACAAGCAGTTATAATATGGGCTTACTTTTTAGGATTTTAAGATATTAGTTTTGTCTAAAGCCACTGCTGAATGTATTTAAAAATACAGGATGTTTTGAGTTTTTCTTTTAACTCTTTTTCTTTATTCAGTTTGGGATAAAGGGATATGTGTAGGTTGAAAAATAAAAAGAAAATTACTTTGTTGACATATTTAAATATTCTTTGCTGTAGACCAAACATTCTTATTTTTAAAATCTATATTTAAATCTATATTCTAAATCTATATTCTAGTATATATCTAGGCTTTTTAAAGGAAATTCAAACCTTGAGCAAGTTACCTTTGAATTAATAAGTCTGTTGTCAGTTTACAGGGGGCTGAGCGGAGCTGTGCCCTCCAGAAGCTTGTTTTACTTTGGAATTTTGTTTCTATTTTTATTTCACTTATACATTTATTGCCAACATCAGTAGCCCCTGCCATCTGAGAGGCTCTACTTCTTAATTTCCAGTTTGGATAGAAGTAAAAGATGACAGCTCTGGGGGGAAGCACACGTCGTAAAACATAAGGCAGTTGGGAGATTTCTCCCTTCCCACCCTCCGGCTGCCTTCCAGGGGCGGCAGATACGTATCAGGGATTTCGAGTGTTTGGCTGTTGTGTTCCCAGATAAGACCCCGCCATCAGCTCTGCGCTGACGCAGGAATGAGTGGAATTCAACCATTTTCTTTACTACTGGGGTTTTCACATAACTTTGCTCCAGGTTTATTAAATTTCTAAAATGTTCTCTAGGTCACACTGAATGGGAACGTTTTATCTCAGGCTTTCTGATTGGTTTCCAATTCCACAAATTCCTGTGTGACCCTTCTTAATTTTTTCCCAAGCTCTTTGTTATAAAGAATGATTCACTGACTATATATATATTTTTTTAAAGGAAGTGTTGGGTTACAGCATCAAATTCGAATCACAATTCATAAAATCTTTTAAAAAGTTACTATTTGCGCAAAATGACCAGGGGTTGAAGAAGCCCATCAGGACGAGCCACTGGTCTAAGAATGTGATCCGAGGCGGGCAAATTGACTTAATTTAAGTGCTTCTGCAGATTCTTCTTCTCTTTCCCAGGCCTCCTACCCATAATTGAAGCAGAAATGTTTATTTTTTTGAAAGCTTTAGAGCATTTTGGTTGGCTTTTTTGGACTGTATTTTTGCAGCCCTTTGGAATTTGCCGTATCTGATATTAGAGTACTGATACCATCGCAGGAGAGTCGGGCTTGATGCCACCTTGCCAGGAGCCAGAGAGAACAAGCATCTCTTGATAAAGATGCTTCAATAAGCCCTTATGCTCAGTTTTTCAGACCCAGAACCATGTGCATCTACAGAAGGATCCACACCGGGTACTAGCTCTCTGGGGCAGAGAGCTCTCCTCTGCTGTCACTTGGGAATCACTTAGAAAACCAAAAAGTGAGACTTAGAATTTTTCCTGTTCTCCATACCCAGTGAACAAGCTCAGCAGAGAATCAAACCAGAGGGTAGATTTTCATTAAGAAGTCAAATTCCAGACAGCCTTTCCACTTCTCTCCATTTGGTGTTTTTATGCACCAGGACATAGGGAACGTGTGGAAATCATTCTCATAAGTGACTAAGTATTTGGGTTTGACCTGTGGATTTTCATCTAAAAGAACTCATACATTCCAAGGGAATTAGAATTTTGTTTTGTTTTTAAAGAGTAACTTAGATTCTTCCTTCTCCCAGAAAATATTTCAGGCAAATTTCAATAAAATGTGTGTTCACAATAAGGTGGTTAAAATAGAAAAACAGAGCATATAAATGGGGGATTTAAAATAGTTACTGTAACTTAACATTAAGTTTAATTCTGAGCTTCCTGGCAGTTTAGGGAAAGAGGAAACACAGTGGATTACATTGTTTTCAGCATCTGATGAAAGAGAACGTTCCACTGTTTCAGAAGATACTTGTTTCTCCTGTAACTAAATTTTAAGAGGGCTGTATCCAAAGGGCCCTTACATGTTTTATAGAAAACACCAAAAAAAATTTTCTTTTTTCAACCCCAAACAAAATTTGACAGCACAATATTGAAAATGCACCCAAAGAAAGTCAAGCACTGCCAGTTGCCACTGTACCCTCAAAACCATCCCCAGGCACCAGGCAGCGTATCTTCCAGACTTAGATTTCCTACAAGATGAAATTTCCCTGACATCACTTTTCATTTTATTTAAAAAATTTTTTTAATGTATATGTGTTGATTTTCATTTGCTTTGAATTCAAAATAATGGCATTCTCCTTATATGTGTATTTATATATACCTATGTTTTTAAAAAATATACACTTCAGTACATTTTAGAAACTCAGAGCAGACAAAGAATTCTACAATAATGGTACACAAATATAATTAGGACAGCACATTCTAAAGCATAAGCCCCCACAAATGTGCTTGATTTAATATGGAAATTAGTCTTCTCTCGTGTGCTTACAGCTTGTCACTGGGACTATTCGCATGGACTCCTTTGCTCTTAAGAATGTAATGAAATAATGAAAATTATCTGGGATTTGTTGACATAGAAAAGGGAAGTGCTAAATTTGTGAGTGAACAGAGGAGTGCGGCGATCCCAGCAGGACTCCACGTCAGAGGAGAACCAACATTTCCATTCAGCAGGGCTGTGTGCTACCTAGGGATCAAGAGAGCTTCCAGTGGGGCTCCAGCTAAGTCCCGGGGCGGGGTGGGGGGGGGGAAGTAACTGGGTCCTCCAAATCTAGCTAAATTGGCACTGTGGGAAAGCTGCTTTTCCACGTGTCAGCCCACACTGTGTACTTTATGTAAACCAAGGTCTTTTATTAAGAGAGCTGAAGACGGGGCGTGGCTTCGCCCCACAGTTTCCATGATCCACCATGTATGCGGCAAAGTCACTCAACAAAAGTTAACACAGCAGTGGTACAGCAGGACTGGCCTCTGCAATACACAGATTCGGAGTCTTAAAAAGAGGGCCGTGCTGGCTTTTAATTGCATACATTTTTAAGTGATCCCATTGTTCTCCTCCTGGGGCAGTTCTGTATTCATTCGGAGAGCTGCCTTGGTGAAATATTTTTGTCTAATATTTCTTGGTCTGTTCCAGGAACAACCGCCCTTCTGGTTCTTTAGGTCATCTCCTGCTGCGCTGTGGCTCCCTGGCATTCACGGCGCTTTGCAAATGATCGGAAGATTTGTTAAAACATTTTTTCTTCCTGGTATCTATTAAATAAACTTTAAAAAAATATCCAACCAATACTAATTTCCTAGACTTTGCTATCTTTTCTTCCACCTCCTTCTGTGGCCATTTGATTCTCCTTCCTTGGTCTCCTTTGGCTGTGCTTGGTCCGTTCTGATGCCAGCTCGTGTTTTCCTTCATTGTTTTCACTCATTATTTTGCTAGTTCTGTTGTCAAGCTGTGAAACTAAGGTGTGAGGCTTATTCGTTAGTGTTCATTTGGTCACTCTTCATCTAGTTATTAAATATCTATTATGTGCAGAGCATGTTTATTTGCTAAATGAATTTTAGATTTTAAAAATATTCATTTGAATTGAAACTAGACCCAAAGGCACATTCATCTCATGAGCATCCTTGCTCTGGTGCCTTCACTGTGGCATCCGCACCTCTGCTCTGATTTTCAAGGCAGCAGGAGAGAAAGAAAGTCTCACAGGCTAGAGAGACTCAGATTGGCTTGTGTTCAGTTAAAGAGCAGTCAGGAGAGGGGGAAACCCTTGTTTTTATAAAAGGTGAGAGGAGAATTATTAGGAAGAGAAGCATCATTGTGCCTGAAGGTATTTTGATGACCTTTCTGGGGGTGAATGGAGGCACCACCAGGCCAGGACACGGCTGCAGCGGCCCAGGGCAAAACAGAAGGGACCTAATTGCTGTGCAGAAAACCAGTTGGTGGGATATTAGTTTCAAGCAGCAGCCAGCCGGGGAGTGAGGTGAATGCTCTAAGGAGTTGGAGACTGAGAGGGTGGAGGACAATGGCAGGCGCCTACGGTTCATGGTGACAGCAAACGGCCAGTGAGAAATTCCCAGGGACAGAAATGGCCTGGGAACTTTTAAAAACAGCAGTGTCTGGTATCCATTTAAAATTTCTCTGCCAAGTGGGATGTGAGCTCCTCGTTACCCTCAAACCTTCAGGACAACTCGGATACAGTCAAGACAGCCTGGTATTAACAGGAGCTGTATGGATCAGTGGAAAGGGGGCTGGGAGTCACCATTAGGGTGGGGTGGGGTGAAGAGATGTGACGAGAACCTGCTCGAGAACTTGGTAGAAACAGGAAATCAGAAGAATGGAGAGATGGAAGTCTCAGAGTCTGAAATGTTGGATTTCTCTTACACATGGAGTGTGAGGTAGGCTGGAGTAATCTGCATTTAAATTTTAAAAGAAGAATGATCCTGAAGGCTTGAAGAATTTGGAGGCACCAAGGATGTAGATATTTAGAAACCACTTTGGGCCCTTTTGAGACTTGGCTTCCTCAACTGTAAAATGAACATAATGCATTAACGTAATTGAGAGGATGAAATGAACCATTATAAGCATACATGGTTGCTTTAGGGGCATGGTGGGATAACAAAAAATATTCCTCTACTCCTTCCTGAAGATACAGTCTAAGATCGTCACATGCAGGCACAAGAAAGCCCAAATGATGATTTATACCCATAGTAATTGGCTAATATTCATATTTATTAACAAGTTTGGATAAAGCCTGGGGGGAAAACCCTTCAATGTGTAGCCTGACATGTTGATATCAGTGATTCAGCCAATGTGAATGTATTTAGGCAATTTTGAAATTAACTGTGGTGGATTAAAAATAGCCCCAAATTCTTTGGTCTTCCTCCCATCAAGAGATGTAGGGGTCACTGTTCCCTCCTTTTGAACCAGGGTGGGCTCTGTGGATGCTTTGACCAACAAAATATGGTAGAATCTGGTGGAAATAGGACATGTACCCACTCTGAGTCTGGGTCTTAAGAGACAGGCAGCTCTCACTTCCTACCTCTTGGAACATGTGGACTTGAAGCTTTGAGCTGCCATTTAAGAAGCCTAAATAGCCTGAGGCTGCCATATGGTGAGGAAGCCCAAGCTTGCCGTTTAGAGAGCATGTGTGTGTGTGTATGTGTATGTGAGTGAGTGTGTGTGAGTGTGTGTGTGTGTGTGTGTGTGTGTGTGTGTTAGAGAGAGATGCCTGTTCAGCCTTTGGCTGTTCCACTCCTCCAGCCATTCAGGTCTTCCCAGCTGAGGTCCCAAACACTGTGGAGCAGTAGTGAGCCCACTGTGCTGTGCCTGACCCACAGAATTATGATGATAATAAAATCAGGATTACTGCGAAGATTCAATGAGATAACTGATGTCAAGGGGCCAGCACAGTGTCTGGCACAAATGTTGATTAGATTATCAGGTCAATCTGAGGTTTAATCATGCTTTGTGGGAGCAAAAAAGGATATTTCAATCATTTCTTATCTTTTCTGTGATGTACTTCTCTCCCTCCTGAACTAAAAAGGGGGTTAATATGTGCTCCAGTAGATCCAGTTAGATAGAAACTATCACCTCTTAGGAAGCAAAGTCCTACAAAGTCTATAATATAAACATGGCCATGGGGTTTACCTCCTGTGAGTCAACTGTTTAAAAAAAAGAAGCATTTCCCTTTTTATGAGCACTTTTATTCCCATTTTTATCTGATGTAACCAAGCTGTCCATTCATATTGCAACATCTTAGCTCAATCCTGCAAACACTTTTTTTTTAAATCAGGGTAATCAAGGGACTTTTAGGACACATATCTCTACACAGAGCTACATTTCCTCTCCATCAGAAAAAAGGGGGCGAATTCAATCAGGACGGCTGAACGCAGACCACGTGCGATTCTGGAATCTTTCATGGGGGAGGGTGGGCACAGAGCACCCACTTGCAATCAGCCCTTTTGAGTAAAGCCCACTGCTATGTTTTTGAAAAGCTTTAGAAACTTTCGTCATTGGCACAAATGAAGCATTGAACAGAAAAATCTTTCTCCTTAAGCATTTTCTAGATTTAATGTTGGTTCTGAAGAAGGGCGTGGTTAAAACCCTTTGGGAAGAGGGTGAGTTCCATAAGAGACAAGTCTGGCTCTATTTAATTCAAGATTGACTGGCTCCTTGCCTCCTTCCTCACTTACCATTCCAGATGCACCTTCTCAAAGCTGCGTGCTTGTGAGGAGAGAACGGCCCTCTCCAGCGGAACTGAAAAACTCTTCTTTGGTCAAGATACGCCACATCCCCATGATCCTTTGCTAGAGCTTCCAAATAAATTCCACAAAGCTCTGCAAGCACAAGAAAAAAGGACAGTCTCAGAAAGTGAAGCACATAGAGGGGGTGGAATGTAGTAGGTCAGGTTCCAATAAACGTCAGTTCTCTTCTCTACCTACTGGCAGCCCTACCCTATACAGCTCTCATCTCGTGTCGTACTCACAGCAACAGGATGAGAGCTCTGGAGAAAGAGAGCTGTGCTGGTGTCCCAGCTACATGAACACTGTGAGTACCAGCTGTCCCATCTGTAGAAGGACATTACAGAGGTAGGATGAAATAATACATGTAAAGTTCTTAGCACAAAATCTGGCACCTAGTAAACACTCAACACACATTAGCTGAAAGTTACAAGTTAAATATTATTACCTCCACTTGAAAAATGAGGAAATGGGGGTTCAGAGAGTTCCAGTAACGCATCCAGTAACTCACCCAGGTCATATATCTAGTCATGAATGGAGTGAGGGGGACAGAACTTTGATTCAAATCCAAGTCTTTATAACTCCAAGGCCCTCCACTGAGTCTGGGTTATGTCCTGGGATCTGTTACCTCCTGACATAATACAGCAAGGCCACGCCGTCCTTCTGTCTACCAGCTGGAAAGGAAAGTACTTCCTACAACATAGCAAGAACCTAGAAATCAATATTTATTTTTGCTTTATTTTCTTTGCACTCCCTTTCCCAAGCTGACTTGCTGGGAGCTTCATTATGACCTCACTGCTTACTGAAGGGATCCCGATACGTCAGCTCCGAGGGGGGTGCTTCACTCTGAGGGAGTGTGGGATGGGACAGCACCTCTCTTTCCTCTCTTCTTAGGAAACTTAACAGGACTAGCAAGAAAAAAGTAAGCAAGCATCAGACAAAAGCAGTCAGACTTCACATCAACCCATGTTGACTTTTGTGAGTCTAATTTACAGGAGTCCTTGATTGGATAAAGACAAAAAGCTCCCTCGGAATTTCCATCAAATGCCTTTTGAAAACAACACTGGGATGGGCTTAAATATACATGAGTCAGAAACATCCGGATCACATTTCCAGGGAATTATCCAGGGATTTAAAAATTTAGATGAAGAGAGGTTTGGTAACCAGCAATCTGGGGTTCTTAAAAAGCTTTCCAACCAGTCAAGACTGTGAGCCTTGTCTTGCTCTGAGAAAGTCCAGTAAATAGTGCCTCCTCAACCAGGTAATGGTTCACCCTGGTTTAAGGTCACAATTTGCTGTTCAGGGTTTCATCCCCACTCAGTACGAGGTGATGGGAAAAGGATTGTGTTGGGGCCACATCCCTCCCCTGTCTCAGAGGCAGCCCAGAGTCTCATTAGACTTGAGTGCAGGACCACCAGTTCCCTGAAGGCATCTTTTGTTGAATCTTGCTGTTTAAAGACAAAATTATCTCAGAACAAAACTTTTTTTCTATTTTTAGGTGCACAGTCAATTGTGAAATTGGAGTCTCCAGAGCTCATTTCATAAACATACCAGAGACTGTCTCAAGAGACAGAAGGATTGAAGTCCTTGCCAAGGGCAGTTTATGGTGCACTCAAAGGGATGGCAAAGAAGCTGACATCTGTGGGTCTGGAGTCAGGGGCGGGGTCGCAGTATCGCACCAACCTGGGGACCTGTGGGCTCTGTGATCATCCCTGTTTCTCTTTCAGCTTCTTAGGAAAATCACGGGCTGCTGTAAGGACAAACCTTGAGCACCTTTTCGATACGGGTGGAGAAAGCCAGCAGACAGGGCTCTGGTTTCATGGCCCTCCTATGACCCGGCTCCAGGTCTTCACTGCACTTCCTGCCTCCAGAGGGTCTTACAAAGGTCTGAGTTGCTTCTCCAGCCATCCCAGTCTCACCGCCAAAAGGAGAAGGCTGACCGTGAGAGGATACTTTGAAATAAAAGAGAATGGGGCAGACACGGTCGGCCTCTCCAACTCTTCAATCTGTGCCTCACTTAAAACTTGTCTTTAATCTTCGGCTTCACTTATTCATCCTGGCCCAGCCTGTCTGTTTCCATGATTCAGGAGACACAGCACGGAGCTTGTCAGCCATCCAAGCACCGGCCACGCTGTGGTGGCTCTGGGAGGAAGCCCCAGCCCGTCTCCTGCTCTGCGGGGGCCCTGGCACAGGGCCCAAGCCAACCGTGGCCACTATGTCTCCTTGCCAGGCCCTGCGATTCAGACTTTGTTGTAACTTACAGGCAAAACTCCTGCCTCCTGTCCACATTCTAATGCTCAACCTTGATCTTCCCCTCAACACTCCGTATACCAGGACAAGGGAGATGAAACCACAGAAAGACTCCAGGCTGGACTCTCCTGCCCTCCCCTGACACCCCAGCACTGTGTGCACGAGGAGAAGTGGAAATGCCCTTTCCTCAGCAGTCACCCCCCGGGGAAGGGCCCTGTCCAGATGACCAGGATCGTACGTCGGGAACCCGGTACTTTATGGAGGAAAATTCCAACGTGCCTCTGGGTTCTCTGTTACTAACCCATAGCCGGCTGCCTTTGGAGAGAAACATCGAAGCTTCAAGGCGGATCTGCGAGTTTGAGCACGATTAAACCTGCGACTGAAACCTGGGGAAACAGCTGTAATTATGAGGAGGATGCGTCACTTTCATATGCTCTTCAGCAGTACTTGCATCCAGTTACAACAAACCAGCGCAGGGCTTTCCTTCAAAGCTATTTCCACACGCTAACAACGAACCGTCTCTTAACCTCCTCAAGAGGAAGGCGAGGCCTCCCTGGCGTCTGCTGGGCCTCGGCCCCGCTCCGTGCAACGCTGCACAGCCACGGGGTATCCGGGACCTGTGTGCCCGCCTGGTGTGTCCCATCCTGTCTTCTAGAGCTTAACATCGGTAAAACCAGGGAGACGGTGCCTGGCGCACCTGACCTGGGGTAGCTCTCCTTTAGTAGATCAACACAGGCAGGGGAGGAGAAAGAAAACAGTGCTCCCCCTGCACCCCCACAACTTGAACAACTCGCTCAGGGGGTGTGCCGTCCTTCCTGTCCTACCCAGGGGGTGAGGGGGGTGGGAAGCAGTGATTTTAGCTACGTTTCTTTTTGCGGGTAAGGAGCAGGCCAGCAACATCTGACTGCAGCGGATAATAGTAAAAGGGACGTGAGCCATCTCAGCCTCACTCGACCCCACTTTGGCTGATGGCTCTAAATCAGCCAGAGCAATCTTTTTGTGCACACATCACTGCTGTCCAGTCATTGGTCCTGGAGTCAGCATTGAGAGTATATGATCTTTTCCTTTTAAAGAGATTTTGAACAACCATCAAATTAGAGGAATACTGACCTATGCACATGGTGAGCCTGATTCTTCCCCCCGAAGAAGATCCCGCTTTAGAGCAGGAACAGGACCTGCTTTTGCCCCCTAGGTGCCCACTGGGGAGCTCTCCCTTCAACTGGGAAGATAATTTAGTCAAATGGCCCCTAGCGGCCTGAAGGAGTTACTGCAGCTTCGCTAAAATACATAGGAGCATCTGCTCCCTGTCTCTGAAGACTGCGTGGATTCTCCTCATGTGTTTAGTGAGGATGGTGAACCTGTAACATCACAAATAAAAGCAATGCACCTGGACTCAGCACACTGCACTCGTTTAGCAGTATCACTAGGAGGAGCCCTTGCTTTTTAATAATAGTTACACAACCACTGGTTACTGAACTCAAGAACTCCTCTCAGGTTTGAAAAATGGTAAAGATTAATTTTGAACAGACAATTATCAAAACAACAAATTTCTATTTTTGTTTGTTCCAGAAAGATTTTAGGCCAATTACAGAAATGTGTAAATTACAGAAAGATGTATGAAGGGGGTGTTGAAAAACAAAAGGATACAAATTGGAATTCTGAACAAGGTTAATAATTCTCTCTCTCTCTCTCTCTCTCCTCTCCTCTCCTCTCCTCTCCTCCCAAAGAAGCTAGTAGATAAAACACCCTCCTGTTTTAAAAATTTCCCTCTGGGTTTATACTTTTACTAACCCAGTGCACTTTTTGAGTGTCAGTAGATTTGTCTCAGAAATGAGGCACACAGTTATGAATATTATCCTCCACTACCCATGTAGAATACTTGCTTTATGAAAAAAATGTATCAATAAGCTTGAGTTTCAGCGTCCACAACACATTATGGTACAGCTTAAATGAAAAATCAAACAGATAAGATATAACAAAAAACCCCAATATATCCTTAGTTTCTACTTCATGTCACAAACATTTTAAGAATTCCTAAGCTTATACTTGGTTGAAGTCAGACTAAAGAGGATATAAACTCGCTTTTTCACCTCTTATTTTCAGAGATTCACACAGTGAGCAAGAGAATAAGCCCGTTTTCTTCATGTTCCAAAACTCACATAAACAACACTCAAATCCAGAAGAACAAGGCAGGAGGGAAGAAAGTGAAATTACAGGGCTTAAGACACTGTGAACCCAAATTCGTAGACTTTCCACAATTTTCCTTCTTTGCAGGCAAAGACAGCCCTACCAACTTTTGATTCTGACTGCAGGTTTGTTCCTTCAGGATTATGGGCAAGCCTTCTGACTCCTGTGCTTTTTTTTCTTCAAAAAGCCTTGGGCATTCCCAACACCCGGGAGGCTGGTTGAGTGTTCTGTGTCTGAAACAACTGCGAGCTGCACACTGCAAAGCGGGCACTTGTGTCATTTCACCTCCATCCGGAGCCCCAACAGCCCTGGCTCATTGCAGCGTGAAGTGGTGAGGCCGAGGGGGTTCTGTCATTTCTGTTTGCTCTTCCTGTCTCCTCTCTTCCTGTCTGTTTTCACAGTCAGACATCCAGCACGTCAGATGTGAGCCCAGTAGCTCACTGCGTTTAGGCAGAAGCACTCGGGCAGTGCAGAGCCTGAGGTGAGTTCTCCTTGGCCAGGAGTTTCCAGGACGGTGCCCTCCACCCACGTCTTCAGCGAGAGGCAGGGCCCTGATGTCAAAAGTGTTTGAGAAGAGCGAGCTTTCTTATATTGATTGGCTGTGAATAAGTAATGGTTTTAAAAGAAATATGTTTTTAAAAGATTGTCAATCTAGTGAACTTTAACTGTTCTTATTTCCCTGAACAAGCTGGCAAAACAAAACAAAACAAAAAAACCTACTATGCAAAGCTAGGTCACAGGATATACATTAGAAACATCTGCCCCAGTATCTAAAAATGCTACTCCTCTGTTAGAATTCAAACTCTCCTGTCTCTGTAAGTTCATCTGAAAGGCAGACAAAATCAATTAGCAAGACTTTCACCCTCTGGCAAAGAAGGAATTTCTACAAGAATGCCTTCCAGAAGCTCTGCATTGCTTGACTGTTGGCTGTTTGGCTGATGGGAAGGCAGAGACACAACTCTGGGGCTTCCCCAGGGGACAGGAACTGGCTCCATCCTGTCTCTCCTCCACCTTTGTCGGCTCAGCTCTCTACCCCCAGGGGGAGGACCACAGGCACGTCCCGATCCGGGGTCAGCTGTCAGGAGACAGATCTGTTTAATATTTAGCTTTGACGGGAATTGGCTGAATCAGAGATGAAAGGGATCAGCTCCAAGTGATGGAGAAAAACAAAAAAAAAGTCTCAATTGTTTCAATATTTCCAGGGGAAAATAAAAAGATAAAGTCAATGCAGGTAAGAGAGAAACAATGAGAGAGAGAAAGAGATGGAGGGATGGGAGAGGCAGGGAGAGCGAGAGATGGGGTGGGGAGGTTGAAGAGCGAGATCTCCAAAAGTCCCAAATTCTCACCATGTACCTCTGTCATCTTGGCCTGGTGCACACATACCACGGAGAAAGACATGTAACATTCTGCTCTCAGTGAAAACCCTAGAGCTTCCCGACTTTACTATGCACACGAGCCACCTGGGAATCTTGTTTGAAATGCAGACTCTGATTCACCTGGCCTGGGGTGGAACTTGCAATTCTACATTTCTACCAAGACCTCAGGTCCTCCTGATGCTCTGAGCCCAGAGCACATGAGTTTTCTCGCACAGTGAAGGCATTCAGAGACCACGGTTTTCAGAAGGCTGCCTATTTTAAAACCATTCCTATAAAAAGATGAAGAAATAGATTATAAAACTGCATGTGTCAGAATAATAAAATGAGAAAAGGTTAGAAAATATACATGATTTTTTAAAACAGAAGTTTAGTGGAAGAAAAAAGAACAATTCAGCATGATTTTTACCACCCCATACACCAACTTTTCAGGTTGGGTCCATTTTTGTTACAAAGCAAATAGAAGCAGGTATGGGTTTTGCTGGGATGTTGTTCCAGGGCCCACCATCCCCCACATCTTAGTGCCCAGGGAGATTTGATCACATTTGAGCTGCAGTATCAGATATTCTGACTGTCAGTCCTGTTATTTCCAACAGATCATTTGCCTAGTAAAGAACCACATGCCAGATAAACAGGAAAAACTAAAATTTGTATCATATGGTATAGCTTCATTTATTTTCCAAATGTTTGTTTGCAAGCTACTAGGTCTTTGGAGAAAAACTAAGGCAATTGGCTAAGGTCATTTAATTAAGGGAAAGAGAGATTTGAAACAGAACCAGGTATTTAGACTCTGAGTTCTGACTTGGAAATGATAAGGATAAATGATTCATGGGAGGAATAAATAATGCATTTAAATTAAATAAATATTACTTGAAATTAGCCTGGCTGAAATGTTAGGAAGAATTAAAGCTGGTAAAACTCATTTTATAATTTTTTTAAAATTATCATTTGGATGGTTATTAATTTAAATTGACCCACCTCAGACATGTGAAATTTGGGCAATTTTCCTACATGTCTGAAGGAATTCTGGATTGCTGCTTAATATGGTCATCCCATCCACTTTTACCTATTCTTCACTCATATGGCACTTATTAGGCTGTTTTCTAAGTGCTTTACATACAATAACTTATTTCTTATTAAAACTCTATGAATGAATACAATTATTGTTCTCATTTTATATACAGAGAAACTGAGTCACAAAGAGGTTAATTAGCTCATTTCCTTATCAGTGATGTATTGCTACACACAAACCTCCCTGATTTAGCGACTTAAAGCAAATGCAATTGTTAATTTTTCTCACTCGTCTACAATTTTGGCAAGAGTCAGCAGGAACGACTTGCCCCTGCTCTAGGTGGTGTCAAGTGGAGCAGCTCAGCTGGGGGCTGGAAGGGCCAGTTTCAGGATGGCTCCCATGGCTGCAAACTGGTCGCCTGGGAGATGAGCCAAGGCTGTGAGCCAGCAGTCCCACTCCCACTCCCACTCTGCATCTACCTGTCCGTTGGGCCGCTTCGGCTTCCTCCTACTGTGGTGGCTGGATTCCCGAGGCGAGCGTCTCTAGAGGGCGAGGCAGGAGGGCACGACTTTGTCTAAGAAGTCACAAAGCATTATTTCAGCTACATTCAATTGGCTGAAGCTGCCACAAAGGCTCACCCAGATTCAAGAGAAGGATAAACTGCCTCCATCTCTTGAATGGAGGGAATGTCAAGATTTTAAAAAGATTCTAGAATAGCACATGGGATGGGAAATATCATTGCAGCCACCTTGGGAAAATATAATCCAATACACACTGCTAACTGAGATGGAATGCATTCAAACCCAAGCCATCTAGCCTCGGAGGCCATGCTCTTTACATACCCTAATGTTGTCTTTCTTCCTCCTCTGATGCTCCTTTTGTGGAAGGAAGAGCAGACGTTTATAATTTCTCTCTTCCATTGAAGAGGGCCTTTCTATGTAGAATTACAGAGATTTTGATCTCTGACTGAGGTAACTATGATGGCCCTCCCTTATTCAATTCTAAAAGCAAATCAAATACAATTTTTCAAAGAGCTTTTGAAAATTTAGGCATTCTCCCTCCGGAGGGTTCATCCCCGTCACCTGAGCAGCCTGTGAAAACTGCAGGTTGCTGACTCCCCCTGGGGAGACTCTAACTGTAAGATCTGGGGGGAGGGCTTGGCACCCTGAGATAGCAGATAGCAAAGCAGATGCTAAGTACCACATGTTGAGAAATGACTTAGAAATGTCCCATCCTTTCTGGCTAGCCAGGATCTTTAAATACTCCCCTTGCATTTGGGATTCCCTATCTTCTGTGTTAGTGCCTTCCAGACCTGCTCCTTCTGCCTTCCATGCAGGCAGAAGCCCGCTTTTTCAGCTTCACTGGCGGTCAGAGCACAAGAGATGGGATCTAGACGTCAGCCAACCAGATGCAGCCACGTAAGACTGTGTCAGAGGACGTGCCGTCCAGGACTCACGGTGGAACCAGACACCTTCAGGCTTCTGGAGATGGCAGAGGCAGTGTTTCTAGCCACAGAGGCCCAAATTTAGCATCAAAGAGACAATTTTCAGTGTCTATGCCCTGCATGCTTTTAATTTTTTTTCAAAATTTTATTTTACTGTTGCAGGAACACTTAACATGAGATCTCCCCTCATAACAATTCTGAAGTGTGCACTACCC